CCAGCCAGCGAGGCCCCAGCCAGCGAGCCGCCAGCCAGCGAGCCCCAGCCAGCGAGCCCTATGCTTCCTGCAGACAGGACGCCCTGCGGCCAGTGCTCTGGAGGAGGGACCTGGTGGGAAGGACTCTGACCCCCCACCCCCCAGGAAACCGGGGGTGCATCTGTGTGTACTGTGTTCTCAGGCAGGTCTCTAACCACCACGGTTGGCCTCGTTCTCTCGAGCGGTGGGACCACAGGCACGTGTAACCATGCTCGCTTCCCGGTTAGGATGGGAACAGAACATGGCCTCCTGGGTGGCCTTGGCCTGCTGAGAGCCATGTCAGAAGGAAGGCCTCCTGAGAGATACGAGGCTGACCTGGGTCTGAGAGGCAGCACGGCCCGGGCACCGAACCCACACGCTGTGAGCCTCCCTCCACTGAGCAGAACAGCCCTGCTCAGGGGCTCTTGGCACGTGAACCGAGGGCAGTGGCCCACACTTCTGCCACACGCGCCACGCCCAGCAGGTGCCCACGAGGACCGGGCCCTCAGCAGTGACTCCAGGCACAGCCTGTCTGAGCTGCAGGGCCTGGGACCCCGAGCCCAGGAAAGCCTGGCTGGCCTCCCGCAGGCCAGATGGGGATTGTCTGGGCTCGGACTGGAGGACTCCCAGCTCGGAGGCCCCAGCGGGTCCCCCTGGAGGCGGCCTGTGCTCTGCATGCCTGCCAGACCCCAGCACAGAGAACAAACGCTGAGGTTTGTGGGGCCTGGGGCAGGTGATCTGGTTCCTCGCAGGGCGGAGGGGCGAGGTGTGGGCAGTGTCACCCAAGCCTCCTGGGGCCCGTTCCCTGGGCACGGCTCATGGAAGCCACAGATGGACAGGACGAAGGCCAGGTGGGAGTGGGGTGTCCCAGTGGGGAGACAAGGGCATCAGATGTCCACCCAGAAAGGGCAGTGAGGGGGCGGCCTGAGGCGCCTGTCCGCCTGTGCACTCTGACACGGTGGTCTGCAGCCTGGGGCTCCCACCTGCTGTCACAGCACGTCCGGCCTCTCTCCGAGGGATCTTGCTGCCTCCAGTCTCTGTTCCTAGAGCCCCTGAGTAACTCCAATGTATTTTTTAAAAGATGCATGCACTCGCCGGAGACACACATGCAGAGAGACAGAGACAGAGAGCACGCGGGAGCGCCCTGCACAGGCGTGCTCACTCCACGATCCCTCCCCGTCTCCTCAGGAGTCCGAGCACCCACACACACACAGGCCGGCATGTCTCTCAAGCTGCCGGCTCGGGACTCCACCACCCTAACCCCAGGCCACCGGCCGGCCCGCATTTCCTGTATTTGCAAAGCCGAGCCATTGGGAGGCCAGCCAGGACATAAGGCGGGGAGGAGGCGACACAGCGTGCCTTGGAGGCCGGTTCTAAAGCAAACACGTGCGTCCCGAGCTGACCTGCATTCTAGTCAGGTGAATTTTGACAAAAGGTGAAGCTGTGGGTTCCGGCCGAGGCCATCGGCTGCTGGGGACACCACGAGACAACGAGGGCACCATGCTCTGGACCACACGGCACTGCGCCCCACACCCAGCACCACAGCCTCTGGTCAGGTGACCCCCTCCCAGCAGCTCCCCCTCTGGACCCGGGTCCCTGGCCCTCCGCTGCCCTTGCTCCTGTCCTCAGGCGGCGAGCGGTTTTGAGACTGCTCTGCGGAGGTGACACCCTGAAGCGCTGTCCAAAGCATCTGCCCTGCAGTTATGTCTCCTGCTTTAAGTGAGTTAGACAGTGGCGCCCCCAGGCTAGGGACGGCGGCGTGGAGAACCGCCGCAGTTCACTGTGGGAAGAGTGCGACGCTGGCCTTTCGACCCGGCAGCGCGGTCGGTGTACAGGCAGAGGTTTGGGAAGCGGGTCTCCTAAAGGGCTCCGAGCACCACGCCCTCGCACAGGCTTGGTCAGGACTCTTGGCTGACCCCAGTCCCGCCCAGAGGTCACACAGCTCACAGGCTAGGAGCACAGCCCGAGTCAGAGCGGGGCCAGGTGGTGCTGCAGCAGTCACACGGCTGGACCACATGGGAAAGGTTCTGGGTTCGAGTCCCGGGTCCCCCCTGTGCATATGGGGCCGGTGCACACCCGTGATGGGGCTATCTGAGGCTGGGGGCAGACCCTGGCATGAAGACGGTGTGGGAGATTCCGTCTGTCTCTGTCTCTCTCACGGGAGAAGTAAACAAACTGAAGACAGAGTAGTAAGGGAACAAGGTGGGAGGTGAGGAGGGGATGCTGAGCAGGGCTCGGGGCCTGCCTGCTCCTGTCCTGGGGGTGTCATGCAACATGTGTGGACAGAGGGGGTCACGGCGGTTCCACAAGGTGTTCGGTCCTCGGCAAGGATGGACTAGACACCAGACGCCAGTCCCACGGGCACCCCTGCAGTCACCCAGGCCTGGGGTGCTCCCTGGAGAAGCGAGGAGAAGCCCACGTGTGAGTAAGGCCCAGTTTCTGCCATCAGCAGGCCGGGCCCGACGGAAACGGGCTTCTGCCCCTCTGTTACTGCTGGTCTCAGGGCGGGGCTGGGCAGTCTGCACCACCGTCTTCGGGCCTTGACACAAACCCGACCCAGGGTGATGGGGCTGGAGGAGTCCTTCCTCCTGGACACACATGTGAGATCCAGAGGGCCCTGCCACGTCCTCTTCCCGCATCCCACCCCCGCCCCGCAGCACAAAGAGCACGTCACACCTGCAGAACAGCCCGCCAGGAGGACCCGGAACCGGGGGTCAGGGGCTCAGGGTGTGGGCGACTCCTGATGGGAGTGGACGGGGATGTGGAGGGGCCTGAGGACGTGGCGGAAGCCCAGACTCCCAGGAGAGCAGCAGGGAGGTGGCAGGTTCACGCTGCCCCTTCCCCGGAGATGGAACGGCTGCGGCTCTGACACCAGCCTTCCTGCAGAGCCGGGTCTTACGGAGCTGGTGCTGGGAGTGGGCAGTGTAGACCACCAGGGCCTGAGGGCGGGGCAGCAGGGGCGGGCGGGCAGGGCCCAGGAGGCAGGCCCAGGAAGGCAGGATGGATCTACACCTTAGCAGTGCTGGACAACTGGGGGCTGTGGCTCCACCCGTCAGCCCATCAGCCCACACCATGCCCTGAGTGAGGTAGGGGGCACACCCTCCAGGGCCCCCCAAGTGCCAGGAGGCCACCAGACGCAGGAGGTGCAGCTGGCTTACCCAAGGGGCAGGGGGAGGGGCAGGGACATGGGGCAGGGCTGGAGGAGGTCAGGGCCTGTGGCTACAGGTGACAGCTTTATTCAGCATGGCTCACAAACGCCCGGGCCTGCCCCACGCAGACTCTGCCGGCCCGCAGTGGCTCCAGGTGAGATGGGCAGGAAAGCTCTGAGCTGTCGGGGCAGGGCCAGTGTCACCTCCCAGCACAGAGCCCGGCTGAGTGTGTGCTGACATGTGAGTGCCATGTGGAGAGACCAGCCTGGGCAGGGCAGGCGGCAGAGGGGCGGCTGCACTGAGGGGCTCGTTCCCACCGGAGTCTCTGGAGGTCGTGTTCCTGGCTTCCTCGGCGGTGCACCTGGGCCCAGGTGCCTGGACAATTCTGGAAACTTACCTAGGGAGGGCAGAGGGCTGCGGCCTCTTCCCTGTCAGGACCCTGAGGTCAGTCCAAACTGCTGGGGGCACGTATCTCCGTCCAGGGCTGTGGGGTCCAACCCTGCCCCGGAAACAGGTTAAGGCCAGGCCGGGCGGGGCGGGCGGGTGCGCTTTGGCAGGGGGGCACGAGCCCCCAGGCCCTGAGCTGGGACCCTGAGATCAGCATCTGGAGGCACCGGGAGCCCAGTCCAGCTCAGCGGGGCCGCTTGCTGTCCAGGAGGGCCTTCCAGTCGTCCGCCCACGAGTGCAGCCGGCGGCCGGGGGGCTGCAGCTGCAGGTGCTGGTTGTGGCAGGCTGTGAAGAGGACGTGCTCCCAGCTGGGGTTGGGCTCGGCCCCTGCAGGGGGGAAAGCAGGCTTGAGCTCAGCAGCTGGGAGCCGGGGGTGTGGCACCTGGGACCGGGTCCCAGTGTCCTTGGGCAGGCGCCTTGCCCGGCCGAGACTCGCTCTCCTCACCCGTAAAGCCCGGTCTCACAGGGTGAGGGGCTGTGCACCAGAGTGCATGTGGAGCGCTCGGTGCAGCTCCCAGCGGGCGACCCTCCGTCGGGCGACCCTGCGTCGGCACCAGAGAGGAGCTGAGCTGGCCACGCGGCCCCACCCACGCGCTCAGGCCTCGCCGAGCTGCCAGCTCCCCCTCCCGCCCCCTCCCCGGCCCAGTCGCCTGTGCAAGCCAGGCCAAGGTGGGACGCCCCGTCGCACCACAGACGCCAAGGCAGCCCCGTCCTGCCAACGGGGAAGGGACCGGTGCCTGGCACAGGAGGGAAGCCCGAGAGCTCCTGGCGTGCTGAGCAGGTGGCAACACGGGGACGTGAGGCGCATGGCCACTTGCCTGTGACGTCCGGCCGGTCGTCTATGAGCAGGTCAGCAGAGATCACCGTCTTGTCTCTGGTCAGCACGACCTGCTCCAGAAATTCGGGCCCGAAGTGCTTCTCCACCCAGGCGTACTGCAGGTCAGGACAGGGAGGAAAGCGAGGTCAGACCTGAGAACAGGCCGCGAGCCGTGAGGGTCAGGCGGCCGAGAATGTGGGCTCCAACACCGAGGGAGGCAGGCCGGGAGGGAGGCAGGCCGGCCCCGGCACCAGCTCTGCACAGCTCGAGGCCGAGTGTGGCACTCAGGGCGGCAGCGTGGCCTGTCCATGTCCCTGTGTCTGGACAGCAGCAGCGGCATGCCTCACACCAGGCCCGGCCCCACCCCACTCTACCACCGGGAGCAAAGGAGAGCCGGGCCTCCCCCTGCCGCACCCACGGCCCCGCAGGCCTGTGAGCGGGCACCCAGCTGGGCCCACTCTGTGAGGCCTACACAACGAAGCAAAACACCAGGCAAAAGGCATTCTTGGGCCAGCTGGTGGCGTGGTTAAGGGGGTGGGACTCCACAGGGCCAACTGTGCAGTTCGAGTCCCGGACCAGAGGCTTGAAAACACACGAGGCTCTGCCAGCATGCCCCAAATCGAGAGGACAGAGAGGGGACAGTGGCCAAGCATCACCCGGGGTTGGGGGCGCTTTTTCGCTTCCCCTCTCCATCTTTCTCTCTCTCCAGTGAGTGTACTTGCCCTATAGTAAATTAGAAAATATAGTAAGTTAGAAAAATAAATAACAATAAAGCAGCCCCTGCCCTCGCGGGGCTTCCAGAGGCGCTGGCTAGCAGAGGAGCATTCTCAGGCACGGTTATGCCCCAGTTAGGGGCTGTGTGAAAACGCCAGGCAGCTGTGGGGGCACCTCCTCCAGGAAGCCCAGGCAGCTGCACGGAAGCATCTCAAGCAGCCGCGTGTTCCAGATCTGCAGGCACAGACAAGAAGGCGAGGTGTGGAGTGCGGGCAGCAGGGTGGCTGAGGGGTGGGAGGAGGCACCTTCTCCATACCTTTGGGCTCTCTGCCCCCTTTCCCTTTTCCTAAGGGCACCTCAATTCCCACTCCAAACTCCCAGAGACAGTGCCCTTCTTCCCCCAGGGCAGTCCGTCCGGCTGCAGAGCGGAATCCTGCCCACCTCCCATGCCAGGGCAGCCTGCACACCCCCAGCTGTTGGTTCCGTGGGGGACCAGGCACCGGCAGTCCCAGGTGCCCCGCTGGTCCACTGCCCTCCTAACTTCTGCCCTTGCCGCCAAGCCCCGGCACTCAGGCCCTGTCATACTGTGGGGTCTTAAGCAGGAGAGGGGCAGCACCGTTTGTCCAGAGCTCTCTTGCTCCCGCCTGGGGACAAACAGGGCTGTCAGTGCCCAGGAGTCGCACGTGGCAGAGGCGGGTCCCGCCCATGCCCCCCGACCAGAGCGCGCGGAGAACAGGTGGGGTGTGAGGCCAGCTGCTCGGCCCTGCTGGCTCCCCCTGCCCCTGCCCCGCTCCGACGTCCCCTGCGTGCCCTCGCTGCCACGCCCACTCACAGCGCCTTTCCTTAATGTCCTGACCATCACATTGTCCTGCCTCAGCGGCGTCACGTGTGTACCTCCTCTGCCGGAACACTCTATGCACGCACGCACACTCACACACGTGTGTGGGCACACCCCCTTCCACTAGCCCAGCAAGCTTCTGTCCCTCCACAGCGGTCACCTCCTCAGCTGATCGTCCTTCCCTGTGACAGCCACAGTTGCACCTGCTTGTCTGTCAGTCACCTCTTCCACCTCGATCTGTCCCCAGCCTGTAAACCCTGGAGGACAGGGACCAGGCCTCGACGAGAACTGGCCGAAATGACCAGACAAGCCAAGTACCAGCACCTGAAGAGAAGCGTCGTCTGGGACCGGCCCTGCCCTAGGGAGAGGGGCCTGCGCTTCTGAAGGCCTCACGGCCAAGGCCGCTGTGTGGCCCCCTGGGGACCTGCTGGCCATCCTCACAGGAAGATCCCGACGACAAGTAACAGGACACCCCAGGTTCGCCAGACGTGCCTCCTGGACTGTCCCCCTAGCAGGTTGAGGACCTCAGACCTCCTACAGGCACCAGGCCCCAGAGAAGAGGCACAACAGGCTGCACCGAGAGGAGGCAGTCCTGGCCAGGGCGCGGGTGGAGGCGGAGGCCCCGCCGGCGTCTCCCCGAAGCCTCCCAGCCACCTACCAAGCAGGCGTACAGTCCCTCTCCCGCAGCTCTTCCACCAGCTGTGTGGAGGTGAGGCCTTTAACTGGAGAGACTCCAGGTCCTCACTCTAGGGAGGAGGCCAGCCACCAGCAGATGCCCCAAGCTGCAGGGCGTGGGCTGTGCAGGCAACAGGAGCTGTGGCCGGGAGTGGAGGGCCGAGGGTGGAGGGTGGAGGGTGGGCAGGGCGGAGGGCGAGCAGGGCCTCGGACCCGGCGCGGGG